CCTGAGCCGGTGGGATTTGAACAGCCGAACTGCAGAACTGCAGTCAGCTGAAGTAGCCTGCAGTGCTGCATTTAACCACTGCGCCACCTCGGCTCAGTCAAGGAGCTACCACCTCCATAAACAACAGCCTAATCCAGGAACGACGAGCAATATCAACAGGACAAGCTGGAGAGTAAACCCCACTCCCTTCTAGCACTGATGGCGTTACCTACTTGGGTCATGAAACGTCTCCAGGAAAACCACCAAGCTCAGAGAGCACCAAGGACTTCTCATGTCAACCCCAAGCTCCAACATTCTCTCCCGTTGGTATTGTTTTCAGTCTCTGGATTTTTTCATGACTTCCGATACTTATTTCACACCTATTTAAAGTCCTTTTTTTACGACCCTGCGATCTCTTAATTTGGGGTACAGTTGGGAGAGGGGATTGGATGGAGCTGAGCATTTCCTGGCTGGATTGTGAGTGAGTGCTCCAACACTGGAAGTTTTTTTAAAGAAGAGATTGGACAGCCATTTGTCTGAAATGGTATAGGATTTCCTGCCTGAGCAGGGGGTTGGACTAGAAGACCTCCAAGGTCCCTTCCAACTCTGCTATTCGCTTCTCTTCATAACTATCTTTTTCATTTACAAGACTATTAATAACATACCCTAATTTTCTGTTTTGTTCCAAAATCCATTTCTCATGGTATACCATTAAAGTTTATAGAAGATTCTGACTGTTTAAGCAAAAAATTTATTAGAAAGCTTTAAACTTCTTACAGATTTAAAAAAAAAAAAGCAGAATGTTTACGGTTGTCAGTATAAAAATGTACACACCACACCTAAACACAGATTTAATAAAAACCCACTAAAGATAATTGTTTTTTAACTGCTTTCATTATTCCTTATTAATTCCTTTCTCATAATCCGGCAATATTTGTGCCATAACCAACCAACTAGACTTTAAGATACCATTCCCTGCTTGTAACATTGCAATATAAAAGCCACAAACAAATGAAGACATTAATCAAGAAAATTCACAGAACTTTTTTAACATTTCCAGACTCCTTTTTGAAAACGATGTAGAAAAGATGTGGAGACTCTGGAAAGAGTGCAGAGAAGAGCAACGAAGATGATTAGGGGACTGGAGACTAAAACATATGAAGAACGGTTGCAGGAACTGGGTATGTCTAGTTTAATGAAAAGGAGGACCAGGGGAGACATGATAGCAGTCTTCCAATATCTCAGGGGTTGCCGCAAAGAAGAAGGAGTCAAGCTATTCTCCAAGGAACCTGAGGGGAGAACAAAAAGCAATGGGTGGAAACTAATCAAGGAGAGAAGCAACTTAGAACTGAGGAGAAATTTCCTGACAGAACAATTAATCAATGGAACAACTTGCATCCAGAAGTTGTGAATGTTCCAACACTGGAAGTTTTAAACATGTTGGATAATCGTTTGTCTGAAGTGGTGTAGAGTTTCCTGCCTGAGCAGGGGGTAGGACTAGAAGACCTCCAAGGTCCTTTCCAACTGTTGTTCTGTTCTATTCTTCTATTCTATTCGTCCATCTCAATTCTACATCCTCTTTAGACCTTGCTAGGGAAACTAATTTAGCTCTACGGTTAGATTAAGATAGGTTGCAATTCAACCAAATTCGTCTTCTAAATTTCATTAGCTAAAGGAAAATACTTAAGACCTTGGAAATGGATTCACTGATTTCAAAAGGTATTTTGGCCCTTGCGTGTGAGATCCAAATATTGAACGTTGACTGAGAAATTGTTCTTAGCTCATGAAGCTTTAAACATTTCAGAAACAATTAAATATTTTAGTTATGTTTTTTCCCCTCCAGTTCTAGAGACAAAAGTGTTTGTCTCAAGTAGCCTTTGTTCCTGCTCTCTCTCTTCAGTTCCTTCTCTATACTTTGGAAATTTGTTTAGTCTTTGTAACTTTTGTTGTCTTTACAAGAAATGTTCAAACTACACAAATATGTAGCTTTCAATCATTTTCCTCCATAAATAAATGAACAAGTATCATGTTTATGACTCCTTTGCTTAATTGGGTCTCTTGGTTGAGTTTTAGGTCGTGTGTGAAAAACATATCACTCTTTAGGCCATATTTATGCAGAAATATTGAACTAATTTAAGCATCTCTGCTCCTACATGAAATATTATTGCTTTTAGGGGAATTTTTAACAGATGTCCGGAAACGTAAGAGTGGTTTGTATATAAATGCGGTAGATAAAATAAATACGTATTGTATTTTGCTGCCTCTGCAAAATAACAGAATCAAAAATCAAAGAATCGTGTTTGGAAGAAAATCCCTTGATGTATTTTGCGTTCGAGAAGCCCTTCTATGGAATAAATGACATTTTTCTCATATCAACAAGCAAACCATTCAACTACAGAAGTCAGGTTCCATTATCACTGAATTGGTAATTTATTCCACCGCATTTTCTGAAAAACACACAAACATTACACTTTCTTTAAAAAAAAAATTGCTCGTTTGAAATGTCTCTTTCTGAACATTTTTGTTTTTTAAAAAAAAGGACCGTGGGAAAAAAAAGACCGGCATGCCAAATAATTTTGGCAAAATCTGCTCTGTATTTTCAACTGCCCACTGTAGAAGAATGAAATTAACCTGTGCCACCAACCAGGTGTTTGCCATGTGAGATTTGCTAAAATTCATTTGCCACCCAGTAATTACTCAACGGCTACCGCAGATTGTAAATAACAAAGGATTTCTTGAGAGTATATTTGCCATGAGGAGTAAAGAAAGTACAGAGGAAGTTGATGAAGAGAATTAGCAAGCTATATAAACTATATTCAGAGTCATTTTGCATTGATTGAGGGGTCCTTGGTGCTCTCTGAGCTTGGCTGCTTCCTTGCAGCTGTTGATGGGAGTTGGGTGGGTGTGAATACGGTGATACCATGAGGTTGCTACAATCGGATGTTTTCGAAATATATCACAGCGTTATCCTTCTCATAGCTTGTGTTGCTTGTCCTCGGCTTACGGCCAAAATTGAGCCCACGATTTAAGTTGCTAAGTGAGAAATTTGTGGAGTTCTGCATTTGTTAAGCGAATCTCTGCATTTCTTAGTCACACGGTCGTTAAGTGAATCCTGGCTTCCCCGCACTGACTTGGCTTGTCGGGAGGCCGCAAAGGAGCCACGTGACTCTGGGACACAGTGACCGTCGTAAATGTGAGTCCAATTGCCAAGCGTCCGAATGTAAATCACACCACCACGGGAGGATGCTGCAATGGTCATAAGTGTGGGAAATGGTCATAAGTCCCCTTTTTTAGTCCTGTTGTAACTTCGAACAGTCACTAAACGAACTGTTGTCGAGAACTTCCGATGGTTTGAGGGGTGAGGCACTCTTCGATAAAGTTGCATAGGTATCCACTTTGTGGGAGATGCTGATTAGATATATATATATATAAATAGAGCAAACCCCACTCCCTTCTAGCTCTGATGATGTTACCTAGTTGGGTAATGAAACACCTGCAAGAAAACAGTTGAAGCTTAGAGTGCACCCAGGTGCAGCCCCCACCTGCCAGCTCAAACATTGAGCTACAAACATCCACTTCTATTTGCATTGATTTCCTACCTCTAGTAGTAGTACAAGTTTCAATAATTTGTGTATTCTCAAGTGGAGAAATACGGAATAGGAACTGAAATACATAGGAACCTCCATATGTATTGCTGCTGTTTCTCTCAATATGGCACAGCCTCACGCGTGAAAACGTTTATGTTAAAATTATATAATGACAATTTAAGGACATGTTCACAATGTGGAAGAGTGTTAATACCAAATTATTGCATACAAAAATAAAAATAAAAAGGTTAAAAATCCAACCGCCCAAGAACACAAATAGCTACAGTATCTTCGTTCGAAAAAGCCTGTTGCATGTATGGGAATCTTCCAGAAAAACTCTTATTTCAGGTTCATTCATTCTTTCAAAACTATAAGCACAAGAAAAGGTTCTTATTGCAAAGATGCCTGTTACAATCTCTTTTGAAGGCATTTTTATACACAACCAGATTGGAAAACAGGTTTTCCAGTAAACGCTTCAGAATCGGAAACATTTTACTGCATTATGTGCAACTGTTAGCAGGAAGAGGTATTCAAATGACCTGTTGTCATGACGTTTGAATAGTCACATTTTACATTACGATACTGGGAATTAAACACTATATTGCTTTAGACGAAAAACAAAACCTTTTTTAAAAAAAAACTGAATGGTAGCTAGTTTAAAGGTTTAAACGCTTTTGTCCTCACTTCCCAGCAGGGCTTAGGCATAAAAGTTAAAAAGTCACCCACTTTGCACAAGAGCAATAAAAAAATTAAATATTTATTCAAATAATAAGCTTAAAGTTCAGGCTGCAAGGTTGGCAACGTAGCTTTTAAACACATCACAAAAGCGTGCACAAGAATGTAGGCTGAACAAAAAAAATACTAAGCATCATACTAGACAGCCGGTTTTTAAGAAAAGCAAAAAAATAATAATATATAATCACTATACAAAATATAAAATGTATTAAACACTACCATTCACAGAACAGGTTTTTTTGTAAAAAAAAAATGGTTATATTTTTAAAAATTATTCGTGTAATTATATAGTGAATTGTAAATGATTATAGAATACCCTCCCCTTTCAGTTGGCAATATTCTGCTGCTCCTCAGCACACACACACAACCCATCCCACTGAAAACTGATTTATGCCGTTTATACCATCCATGAAAAGGAAGTGATTACTGGTAATCCAAAGTAAACATTGTCTGAGCTAACGAAAGGATCCTTTCCTTCACGCTCCAGACGTGCCCTCCGTGGCGAAGGCTGCACTTGCGTGTTTCCGTGAACCGACCGTATACTACCACGCGAAGTCCGAGGCCGTAGATTTTTTTTCCGCGGAGAAGGCGACTTGACTCGTACGAATGAAAAGACGGAACATTGGTAGACACGCAACCCATTTTTTTTTGCTTCCGGGTTCAGCTCCTTGTGCATCCAAATTTTATTGCCTTTTGGAATTCAAGGCATCCGGAAATTAGAGCTAGTGATAAATATACATATAGCCTCAAAAAAATAAAAAATAAAAAAACGCAAAACTGCATTTGATACCACGAAGGGATAATAATGCCTGACGCTTAGGTGAAAAGCACCTTTGAAGAGCCTGTGCGGCGAGAGATCAGTGTCTAAAGATTCAAAATGAATCAAACAGTATTGGATAACAATATCATTCTCAACTCAGAAGCTGCCTCGACATAGCAGCATCTTCAGTTCATGTAACCGGGGGGAAAGGAGGGGGGGGAAAAAAAGGCAAGAGGGTTAAATTCACTCGCTCCAACCGACCTAAGGCCACCAGATTTGCAGACACAATGTGTTTCTTCTTCTTCTTCTTTTTTTCATACAGTTCTTTAGGCTTTAAGATGATAAAGGAAATAGATCTATTTTTTGTTTTTTTTTTAAAAAAAATGAAACAAAACAAAACAAAACCAAAAAGGGGGGAAAAAAAAAGAGAGAGAGAGAACTATTTCGTCTAGGATTAAGAAGCTGCCCCGGGTGTCGGGTTTACGTTCTGAGTGGCTACTTGGGGCGCGACTTCGATGATTCGCGGTTTGTCTATAATCCTGGCCGTGCGGTTCCCCTTTTCTACAATCCCAATAATCCATGCCTGGTGACCTTCGCCGTATTTCGGAGACTTGATCTCAGCGCAGAAACGTGCTGCTTGTTCCCGGGGTAAGCAGATAAGGAGGCCTCCTGCAAAAGGAGAAGAAGGGGCAGCGTTAGCTCCCGGTTCATGGGTCAAATCAAAGTGGTTGCCCGGCTTATTTGGATTTTTAACCGTTATCTACAGTAAACTTGGCACCACACACTGCAGAACAAGAAATCGGCTTCACTATATACCGTATTTTTCGGACTATAAAATGCTTCGGACTTTAAGACACACCTAGCTTTTGGGGAGGAAAACAAGGGGGGAAAAAAATCTG